TATATGTTATGTTTCGGCTTGGGTCTAATTGTGCACGGTAAACTGACGTTGGCTGTAATTGACCACGGTTCCTTACATTGTGGCAAGCTTCGGGGCCACTTCCTGGAGTCGTGTAGTTCTTCCATTGCTAGTACGGTACATTTCATTAAAGCGTGTTTCTAAAAAAAAAAGTTTACTTATTTGTAGCTTAGGAACCACATCCCCCAACTAATTGTTTTCGAAATCACGAATATAGTACACACAAGGGAAACACTGTAATGTTACATAAAGGAGATATATTCTCCACAATGCTAATTATGTTGTATTATTATTCTTATATTTAAAAGTCTCCGCGCGCTTGCGCTTGCGTGGGATTTGGCTCTCGGACGGTGGGGTTTAAGACCGAAATAATTTGGCAGCCGGCACGCCCTAAGCCCCATGGTGGGAATAGGCTATTCCGTTTTCACGTCCGTAAATTTAAAAGTCGTTTAATTAACGAATTAGTGCCATTCTTATTTTAATTATTTACTTATTGCGCGACATCGACCATACCAACTCACAATTGCGTGGGGGGGGGCGGACCCTGCCAAGTGAAGCGCATTTGCTCCAGCTCACGGGGACATTTTATTTTACGTGTTTAACATGGAATAAATATACAAATCACGCTGCCCATTTCTCTTCACAGTATGATGTCCTCTTCCCCACCCCAATGCGTGCAGTCACTACTATAAAGTCCTTAGATATGAATTTAATATTATTAAAGCGCATACATACTATAATTCTGGCGAGGGTGGGGGGATGGTGGGGGGGGCGGGAGTAGCGGCCCAGCCCGCAGCCTGGCAATGTGTCACCTCCTCCAGCTTGCCAATCTAGGCGAGGCCGCGGGCTCTGCACGGGACGACGCGTCACCACGCCAATGTCAAGTACAATTTTATTGCATCTTTCGCTAAGAACTGAAGGTTTATTGTTTACTATTATTAAACAAATAAGTTTACAAATATTACAATGATAATGTTTGTGTACATGTGAGTCGATGGGTTTCTATGTGTGTGGCTCCATGTCTGTGTGTAAGTCCATGTGTGTGTCTGTCTTTTTCAAACGGATAACGCCCCATGTGTGCGTACGTACAAGTGTTTGTGTATGTGTGTGTCAGTCCATTTGTGCGCATATCAGTCGCTGTGTATGTGAGTCGATGTGCGTGCAAGTCAATGTGCGTTTGTGTGTCTGTGTGTCAGTCGATGTGTGTGTGTTAATCCATGTGTGTGTATCTAAAGTAGATGTCTGTGTGTCACAGTCCATATATCTATGTGTGTGTAGGGCAATGTGTGTGTCAGTCCACGTATGTCTGTGTGTGAGTCGATGTATGTGTGTACATCGATATATGTGTGTGTAACTTCATGTGTGTGTATCTAAAGTGCATGTCTATGCGTGTGTGAGTCCATATGTGTGTGTGTGTAAGTCCATGTGTTTGTGTGTGTGAGTCGATATGTCTGTGTGTGTCAGTCCATGGGCGTCTGTGTTAGTCGATTTGTGTGCGTGGCTCCATGTCAGTCAGTGTAAGTCCATTTATTTGCGTGTCTGTAGGTCCATGTGTGCGTGTGACTAAATGTGCTTTATTGACCTGCTCAAGGCCTATGACACCATCAGTAGGCTTGGCCTCTGGGTTGTTCTTCATGCTTTCGGAGTCCCTGACCAGCTGCTCATGATCATCAAAGATCTTCATGATGGTGAACGGACACGGGTAAAACTACCTGCCTAGGAGTCAGAGCCATTCCTTGTATACCTTGGGGTGTGACAAGGATGTTCTCTGGCTCCCTCATTATTTAACATATCTTTTGACCACGTAGTTCGTCAAGCCTTCAATGGCTGTACCTGAGGAATTACCATATGGTACAGAAAAAATGGGAGGCTGATCGATGCCCGGGTGCGGTCAAGGGATGACTCCCTATTGCTCAACCATGTTAGGTATGCCGATTCTCTGGTCATTGCTGCTCACTCAGAAGAGGAGTTGGAGGCACTGCTGCTGAACTTGGAGCTTGCCACTAAGAGGTGGGGCCTTACCATCAGCCCCACCAAAACTAAGCACCTGCCTGGGTATTTTGTACCATCGAACAATCCACCCCCACAACTCACAATTGGTGATGCGGCAGTTGTGGAGAGATTGCCGAGATTTCCATACCTGCCCAGTGTGCTCATGACTGGTTCCGGTTTTACGGCAGAGGTCTCCAAATCAGTCGAGCGCCATTATCTTTTCATTGGTTGCGTTACGCTGTGTGGAAGATACCTGGTCTGTTACTCCGCACGAAGCTTTAGGTCTTCTCGGCCACGGTAATTCCCTCCCTTCTCTACGCTTGCAAAACGTGCACCCCCTAATGGAACATCTTCGTCGGTGAGAAACATTTAGGCTGGCCTGCTAACGATCCATCTTGGGTTTAACCATATATGTGTGTATGTCTAAGTCAATGTGTTTCTATGTGTGTGGGTCAATGTCTGTGTGTAAGTCCATGTGTGTGTCTGCCTTTTTCGCCCGAGCAACGCCGGGTACTTACCGCTAGTCTTCTTATATATAAAAGTCTCCGCGCGCTTGCGGGGGATTTGGCTCTCGGACGGTGGGGTTTAAGACCGAAATAATTTGGCAGCCGGCACGCCCTAAGCCCCATGGTGGGAATAGGCTATTCCGTTTTCACGTCCGTAAATTTAAAAGTCATTTAATTAACGAATTAGTGCCATTCTTATTTTTATTATGTACTTATTGCGCGACATCGACCGTACCAACTCACAATTGCGGGGGGGCGGACCCTGCCAAGTGAAGCGCGTTCGCTCCAGCTCACGGGGACATTTTATTTTACGTGTTTAACATGGAATAAATATACAAATCACGCTGCCCATTTCTCTTCACAGTGTGATGTCCTCTTCCCCACCCCACCCCAATGCGTGCAGTCACTACTATAAAGTCCTTAGATATGAATTTAATATTATTAAAGCGCATACATAGTATTATTCTGGCGAGGGCGGGGGGATGGTGGGGGGGGCGGGGGGATGGTGGGGGGGGCGGGAGTAGCGGCCCAGCCCGCAGCCTGGCAATATCTCACCTCCTCCGGCTTGCCAATCTAGGCGAGGCCGCGGGCTCTGCACGGGACGACGCGTCACCACGCCAATGTCAAGTACAATTTTATTGCATCTTTCGCTAAGAACTGAAGGTTTATTGTTTACTATTATTAAACAAATAAGTTTACAAATATTACAATGATAATGTTTGTGTGTATGTGAGTCGATGGGTTTCTATGTGTGTGGCTCCATGTCTGTGTGTAAGTCCATGTGTGTGTCTGTCTTTTTCAAACGGATAACGCCCCATGTGTGCGTACGTACAAGTGTTTGTGTATGTGTGTGTCAGTCCATTTGTGCGCATATCAGTCGCTGTGTATGTGTCTAAGTGAATCCGTGTGTATGAGTCGATGTACGTGCAAGTCAATGTGCGTTTGTGTGTCAGTCGATGTGTGTGTGTTAATCCATGTGTGTGTGTATCTAAAGTAGATGTCTGTGTGTCACAGTCCATATGTCTATGTGTGTGTAGGGCAATGTGTGTGTCAGTCCACGTATATCTGTGTGTGAGTCGATGTGTGTGTGTGAGTCGCTGTATGTGTGTACATCGATATATGTGTGTGTAACTCCATGTGTGTGTATCTAAAGTGCATGTCTATGCGTGTGTGAGTCCATATGTGTGTGTGTGTAAGTCCATGTGTTTGTGTGTGTGAGTCGATATGTCTGTGTGTGTCAGTCCATGGGCGTCTGTGTTAGTCGCTTTGTGTGCGTGGCTCCATGTCAGTCATAGATTCAACACTGCTCATAGAGGATGTGGAGCTGAGTGGACTTACAGATGACTGGTAACAACAGTGTCAAGATCGACCTCTGGAGGAGGCTCGTGAAGAATACTACTGGGCAGTTGGAGGCAGTCGCCCTCCATCAACAACGGAGGGCAGAGGAGCGACGCTCACAACGAGCGGAGCACCGAGTGGCTAAAGCACAGACAGTTGGCACAGTAGGGGGCACAGGTGGTGCATCGGCCACTCATCTCAGTCAACCAATGACACCTGTGTCTGTCCCGTGACCTCTTGCACGCGGGAGTTTGATATTTCACGTGGCCTTAGCCTGAAACAAGCGCCACATAGTGACGAATTGCGGTTGTTGTTGGTGCTGATACTGATGATGGTGGTGATGATGACGGGATTGATGATGATGTCGATGATGTTGATGCTTATGATGTGGTGTCACACAGTGTACACACACGCAATAATGTTCACGTTCTTGTTGTAGCTGAGCTTACCCACCCAAGGGATCCTTGTGCAACAGAGGAAGAAATGTGTTGTGTGGTAGAAAGGACGCTGAAGCCGGTCGTGTAGGGGCTGACGCCAAACTATTTATTCAGGGCTTACGCCTAACTCGGGGGAAGGGGCTAACACAATAGTTCTTAACTAATCTCCCCATGGGAAGGGTACTGGGAGTTCCCTATACCCTACCAGGCTATCGGGCTCTTCCCACAGCACTGACCGAGGGTTCAGCCAACTCGGCCAGCCGGGTAAAGTAGCCCTTTAGCCTGGCTCTCAACTCTCTATCCCGGAGCCCCCTCCTCTCCTAACGCTCACTCCTCTGACTCCCGGCGAAGACCCCGTCTACGTCACGGGTCTTCCCTCAAATGCCCCGGGGGGGCATGACGTCACTTTACCTTGACGGCATTCCCCCCGAGGCGAGTGTGATCTGACGTCAGCATTCCATTCCTCAACACATGTAAAAGGAATCTAAATAAACTTAAACTCTAATACCACTCCTCACCGTGCTCGCTCTCACTTTACCACTCCACGTGACGTCATTGTTGCGAGACGCCAGGGGTGTGTACCCCACTAGTGACGTCATGTCACGGGTAAAATCATAATTTGGGCAAAGCCACGCGCATTCACTCAATGTCAGCGCCTGACTCATTAACATAAGGTTTAAATGGGAGGGGCTAAACTAGTTAGTGACGTCATGTCATCTCCCCCGTCTCGCGTTTCTGCGTGACGTCACGGAATCCCGGAAAGCTGATCGCCACTCAACTGAGATCCGAGGTGAAAAGTTCACGTCGTGGTGGTGGTGGTTTTTGTTTATTTAGGTGCAGCCTCGCTTCTTCTATTGTTCTCCTCGGGATATCACTGAGTGTAGCAGCGAGTATGGAATCGATGTCCAGGTTGGAACGTTACAAAGTGTGGCCTAGCCATGCTGGCCTTGCCTCCTGCCATCGCCTGATTGTATTTGCTTTGATTTTTGTTTATTTTTATTTGTCCTCACCTGGCTGTCTACTTTAAAACCATGTTCTGTTTTAATATTTCTACTATTTTGAGCTATATATCTCTTTCAGAAGCGACCTGTCCACAACGAAGTGGCTTGTCATCGTGTGGAAATTTACAGCAGCTAAATGCGACCACGCAGAAAGAGAGACACGCAAACTCCAAATGAACACGCGTCAGCGTCGGGATCCAACCCACGACGGGCGATGTCGTGAAAATTTCGCCAGCGTGGTGCACACTCGAGTGCTTCATCACACTGAGTCTCTTTACTTCAGTTCAGGAGCGCCCTGCCGAGTTGGTTTGGCAGTCGGGGGGAGGGGCGGTGCTTATTCGCGTATTCCCGATTGAGTAATCTGGAGGAATTTGTTCAGCATTGCAATATTTGGACGATACCAGCCAAGAGGTTTTTTTCAGGGTCAGAATAAGTTTATTTCCCAAGTGAAGTCCATTGAACTAAGAAGCTTATTTTCAAGGGCGACTCAGCCGGCAGACATCAAAGCATTTAATAATTAAGCTCACTCACGCCCACTTATTCGTCCACTCATCTACTAATCCAATACTCCCACCCACTCTAGAACTCGCTCACTCACTCATCCATCCACTCGCCCACAAGCACACTCACCTACTCACTCGCCCTCCCGCTCACCCACCCTCACTGGCCCACTCACTCACCCACCACCCGTTCAATAACTTTGGTCGCAACCCGATTTGGTCGTGACTCGAACCTAATTTCTCCATTGGATTGTATGTAAATACGATTAATCCAGTAGTAGTAGGTTTTTACCCTTTTAAACTGGTACAAAACTGACACCTTTTTTGTACCAGTTTAAAAGGGTAAAAACCTACTACTATATTCTGCCACTGGTAAAAGAGATCTCATAGTGTAAATATACGATTAATCCGTTCCAGACTCATAAATATTGTTTTTTTTTTTAAGCACAAAAATAGTTAATTATGCCATAGAATTCATAGTGTAATAGTAAACTAAATGGAAAAACATTGAATAACACTTATAAAACCTTGAACAACAGAGAAAACTAACATTGCCGCGTCAAGGTTTAGAATCGTTCAACAAGATGATTGTTTTGTCTGCTACATCAGTTGGTCGATTCTGAGAGAGAGAGAGAATATTCGTGTGAGCAATTCATGTTTCTATTGAAAGTAAGTTAACAGTAATATTTGGGTACAGTATTGGTTTTGGAAGCATTCACCGTAATATCGTATGAACGTTTACTTCACCGCATCATCGTGTAATGCGAGCGTAAATCGGGTTGTTGCTGGGCTCTGGCCCAATCACACGGCCCGGGGTATTGGGGGCGGAGCCCGGTATGGGAGGCGTGTGGGAGGGGCTGCCGTTCACCTCGGCTCCAATGGGAAGCGAGGTGAATGGAGGTGGAACCAACAGGGCAGTATGGGAAGGCCAGATCTTGACGATCCGGAAGGGAGGAGTCAGAGTCACGTGGGAGAGAGGATATAGATGGGAGCCCGGAAGAGATCGGGGTCAGTTGTTGGAGTGAAGAAGCAGGACCACGTTGGGTGGCCGCCGTGCCATCAGCCACGTGGCTGATGGGGCTTTGGCACACTGTCGGCCAACGGTGTGCGGAGCGGGGAGGATCGGAGCGACTGACTGGAGAGCGCGTGCGGGGCGTGCGCGAGGAGGAGCTAACGGAGGAGCGTGCGCGACACGCGAGAGGAGACGCTGGTCCCTTGTCAGGACCAGCGGGGTGTGAGGACCAGTGGAGGAGCTGAGGAGGAAGCGCGTGCGGGGCGCGCGCGAGACGACGCTGGTCCGCGGAGGAGACCAGCGGGGTGCGGAGAAAGAACTTGAATAAAAGACCAACGGAGACCAGGAGTGCCTAATGGAGTCTTTTATTACAATCGTATGAATGATGCGAGAAGAGATTAACTTGTTTTAATGTTAGCGATTTACGTACTCAGCGCTTTCGCTCTCTAAATTACGGCTGGAATGAGGGGGGAGGGGTATGACTACACTCACAAAATTAATATCTTACTAGGAATTTTATATAACAAAAGTTATCTACATAACTATTACGCTTTGTGTTGTTTGTAAACAAACAACAGGAAATTTGGCGCTTAGAAAAAAAATGGCGCAGAAGGGGAAATCTGCCGCGGCCGTGTTTGATCGCCACCCGAGTTTGTGTTCGTGACCAGATTCAAAAATTTTGTGCATTTTTTGGTCGTAACCCGATTTGGTCGTGGTCAGAAGCGTTCGTGACCAGAGGTTCTACTGTAATCCCTTGCCAGAATAATCTCTTTCGCATACTTAAGCAATTGTTTTAGCTGTGGTTGTCCCCGCCTGATGACGGACGCTTGTGTTGCGCCCGAAACGGCGTGTTTTGTTTTATTTTATTTTTATTTTCTCTGCTTACGTGACTTTACCAAAATAACCAAGAGTATGGATTCTTGCAGTCACAAAAACTTCAAGTCTAGAATGGCTGCTACATTTTACCAGATTGGTGAAACTGGAATATTGTTGATAATAGTTTTTTTACCCTTTTATCTGGCAACAATACTGACATCTTTTTACGAGGAGTCATGTTTGCATAGACCACAATACCTGCAGTCTTAATGCAAACAAAAAACATAACTCTTGATAATGTATGCACTGTCCTTGAAGTTGATTGGTCCACACCCGAGACAGCTTTCCTTAGAGCCTAGTCTCACATGGTGCTGGACCAGATGATGCCAAAAGGCGCACAACTCAAAGACAATGCACCATCAGAGTATGAGGTATTGTGGTCTATGCAAATATGACTCCTTGTAAAAAAGGTGTCAGTTTTGTTGCCAGATTAAAGGGTAAAAAAACAATTATCATTTTTTCTTCTGGCAAATGAGGTTCCAATGGCGGAATATTGTTATTGGTAACATTTGCACGGTATGGGAAAACCCTTCTCTGGAACTGGGAGAGGAGGCAGATTGACCGGTAGCTTCTACAGTCGGTGTTTGCACTCGTACAGATAGAGCTCACTTTGTGGCAAATGGCTGCTGTTGTTTCGTGCGGTAGTGCTGGGCTACGAACATTGGTTCATAGCGCAGCACGCTAACCGAAGCACTTCCACTCTCCACTCACGCATACACATCGTCATCATTGTAAGTTGAGTATTCAGTATTTTTTATCTTTGAATGTTTTATATAGAGTTTCTGCTTGTTTATTTGAGGTTGAGCTTCATGCAGGCGTGACCCATGAAATTTATCTTCAAAACTAATTCCTGTTTACTTTAAAATGACACAGTATTATTAAACAATATCACAAGTATTTTAAAATCAGTTCCAAACTGATTATTTATTTTATTATTATTATTTTTTTCAACTGTAAATTGTCTGGGAGCCATATGTCGTCACTGAAAGAGCCATATATGGCTCGCGAGCCATAGGTTCCCGACCGCTGAGTTAGGGACTCTTGTTCTGTACCTGGAGCATTTCATCATGAGGAGGAGCCTTGCATATGTTCCACAAAATAAAGCACCTGCGTGGGTATTCTTAATGTCATTCATAATCAACGTTTTTGGGTTTAGATCGCGTTATTTATAAATGTGTCGTAACCCTCCACCACCCGACACGGCCAATCAGTAAAAAAGTGTCACGTTGACAAAAGACAAATAGTTCACTGCTTTAGCCCACCGGTGTGTTGAAGCCACAACATTTACAATTTGAGTATGACGTTTCGCTGGTAATTACATCCAGCATCATCGGGCAATTCGCCACAGCAGAGCCTCACCATTCTGGCGAATTGCCCGTCGTACTCAAATTGTAAATGTTGTGGCTTCAACACACCGGTGGGCTAAAGCAGTGAACTATTTGTCTTTTGTCAACGTGACACTTTTTTACTGATTGGCCGTGTCGGGTGGTGGAGGGTTACGACACATTTATAAATAACGCGATCTAAACCCAAAAACGTTGATTATGAATAACATTGGTCGCGAAAGCCTACGTGTTAAATTCTTAATGTCAACCAACATTCTGCCTGCTCGCCTCTTAATGAGTAATCAGGCAGTTCTACAGGTGGTGGAAGAGCACCCATACTTGGTAAATGTGTTCATGACCAGTTCTGGTTTGCCAGCTAAAGTCTCAATTCAAATTAGTCGAGCAGAATTCTTTAATTAGACTGTCTAACACGGTGAGGAAGCTGCCTGGAACGTTGCTCCATACAAATCACTAAATCTTCTTGCCCACAGCTATGACCCCTTTCTCTGTGGATGTGAAATATGGACTCCTTTAAAGAACCATCTGTGCTGGCTTACACAATTATTGGCCTGCCTATGATCCATCTTTTATTGAGCCCGACTTGATGGTATTAGAAGCTTACAAATCTCTGAGATGTCAGTATAGAATATAATCAGTGAACCTCTTTGGCAGGCGAGGCTGCATTGGTTGGTCATGAATCCTGCATGCTCAGAAACTGCATGTTCAAGCAGCGTAAGTTAGTTCAGATATGAGGGACTAAGCGGGTATGGCATGGGCTAGAGAAGAGATTAGAAGATGTGGAGGTGATCGGACTTGCCGATGACTGGTACCAGGGGTGTGAAGATCAGCCTCTGTAGAGGAGGCCCGTGAAGGATACTGCAGGGTAGTTGGAGGTATTTGTCCTGCAACAACGAGGTCAGAGGAGTGACACATTAATAGTTGCGGTGCTGGGTGGCTAAAATGCAGCAAGTTGGCACAGTTGCGTAGCACGGGTGGTGTATCTGCCAGTCATCTCGGTCATCCCTTGACACCCCGATCATTCCCATGACCTACTGGCAAGTGCTCCACACTTACAT